TCAATAGTTCAATAGTCGGCCGATCCCGGCCGTTCTGACTTATATATTGCGTGCAAAGGAAAAAAGGGTGTGTGCAAAGTTTCAAGACGATAGCTTTGAAACTGAGAGACTAGTTCGCGTAGAAAAAGAGACATGCGGACATGCTCATATCAACTCCGGAGGTGATCCTGATCAAGAATATATATACTTTATAAGGTCGGAGATGTCTCCTTCAGTGCGTTGCACACTTTTGGAGAGTGCAGAGTGTATTATAATTTTGTCCAAAAGTGTGCAACGCAGTGAAGGAACTATCTCCGACCCTATAAAGCATATATATTCTTGATCAGGATCACCTCTTCATCAGGATATGAGTATGCCCATCTGCCTGTCTGTTTCCACGCGAACTAGTCCATTAGTTTTTCAGCTATTGACTTAAAACTGTGCACACACCCTTCTTTCCTTTGCACGCAGTACATAAATCGGAAGGGCCGTGATTGCTGTCGGAAAATGCTATAACTTCGGTGTTTCTAGAGCCAGAGAGTTCGAATTTTGTATAACTGGTATTTTTTTTAATAAAAATACCTACTTTTGTATTTTTGAAGATAGAAGTTTGGGTTTTTTTTTTAGATTTTGTATTGTAATAAATGGGTTATATTATGATATTCTCATAATGATCGGCCAACTACATCCGGTTTTTGCGATGTATATCTGGATTTACCTGCAGGGGTATATCAACATTGGCTCCGCCCGAAGTTAGCTTACCTTTTTGATTTACTAAGAGGACTTCTATATTTTTTATGTAAACTGGTTCATTATCTTTAAGTCTTAGTTTTTGAAGGCCGAATATGTTTAAATTTACAAAAACTGTTTATTAAAGTTTATTATATTATTATATTACTGTTTATTATATTACACCTTTTCAAAGCTGTTTATTAAAGGTGTCGGGTCAGGCAGCAGCACACCGGTGTAATTTTAATGTTTAAATATGTTAACGTAATGTTTGGTAATGTTTATTTATTAGGCTTAAGTTTATACAAAAGCTAGTTGATCGTAAGCCGACTCTCTCTCGGCCGATCGACTCAACGGACTTTCTTTAGAGAATTTTTGCTCGGCAATGTCTAGGTCGGGCCGGCCTCTCCATTGTCGAGAGCTTTAGCTTCGAGGTGACTTGTTGGTCCGCCCTCTCTGTATATTACTTGAGTCCCTACATGCACCATAAGCTGGTCTATCTGCGGATCATCCGGCTTCATCTGCATGCAGAAATAAACATTTTTTATAACGTTCATATTAAATACAAATTCGTCTTTTTATTTACGGCATTGAAAATGATCTATAACAAAACATTGGTGACCCCGACGTGATCTAGTTAATATAATTAACTAAATTATTAACTATAATTTACTAAAGCTAAACTAAATAGAAACTAAAACTTAACCAAACTATTCCCGCGAAAACATATGTGGTGCAGATTAAAAATTACATGAACGATTTTGGTGCTAATAAGCAGTCAGTCAAATTCAAATTAAGAATAAAACATAAGCCTAATGGCAGTTCGGTTGTGGCCCGTTAAATTATTTATTATAGGCACACACACATATTTACGTTCCACAAAGCAAGTGCTTTCGCCCGCGCATAGACTTCATATATATATACGTTCCACAATTCCGCTACGGTTCTGAGCGGACAGTGGGACAAGGCGTGTTCGTCGCGAGCAAATAAATTTGGAGCGATAAAATTTGGCGCCGGAATTATTTACTTCGGGTTGGTCGGAACTTAATAAATTAACCATGAACTCCAGCGGCGCAGACACAGGAGCACCCACGCCAACCCGTAGTGCTATTCTAAAGTGCAAGGCCCTGGGTATTCTCCAGAACTTGCAGAGAGCTCTTTAGCCTGTTTCCAAGGTGGATTAATTTTTCAAATAACTTTGTAATTGCCGGAAAATTAGAAATGCCTCTGTAGTGGGCAGCATCGAACTTTTTCCCTTTTTTTATGTCAGGGAATTTTGTAAAGATTCTTTCCACTTAGGGGAAAAATCGAGGTTTCCAAAGATAAGCTGAAAAGTCTATGCAGAGGCTTGCACAGAGCCGCACACAGCCGGGGCCTAGCGAATAAACGGGTTGGATCCTTAGAATGCTCAACGTGCGACATGGTCAGATAGTCGCCATGTTCAGCGACTTCAAGGCCATCCATAGGGAGCTTGAGGACTTGGACATTTCGCAGATCAGTAGTGAGCTTCGATTAACTGTTTCGGAGCTCGTAGTGACAATGCAGGCCGAAATTGCGCACGAGACGCTCTTCCCCTTCGCTCTTCCCGAATTGCGGCCCACTCCACCCTAGCTAACGAAATGTCCACCATGCAGGTTGACTCAGAGTCAGGTCAAAGGTTTCAAGCTTTGCCTCCCTTGCCTCTTTCTACCTTCAGCGGTGGATACTCTGAATGACCTCAGTTTTACTCGATTTTCTGTACAATCGTCGGCGGTAATCCGAGCATCAATAAGGTGGAAAAGCTGCAAAGGTTGCCATGCTTTCGGGAGTCCGCTTTCGAAGCAGTTCGCTCCTTGGAAGTCTCCGATGAGAATTATGATATTGCACTGAATTTGGTGGAAAAACGATTTAATAGCCGTCGTTTAATATTTAAGGCTCATGTGAACGAGATTCTTGGACTCACTCTAGTGGGAGGTGATTCAATAACAGGTCTTCGAGGGTTATCCGACAAATTCAATGCCCATATGAGAACTTTGAAGAGTTTGGGTTCGACAAATGAGATTCGACAAAGCCGGCTGCATCATTGTCCAGGTGCTTCTTCAACGTTTGGATCCAGCTACCCAGGTTAAGTAGGAGGAGAGTCTAAATTCTTCAAGTTCCGACGCCATCCCTACTTGGGAGTCGCTGGCAGAGTTTCTGGAGCAGCGATGCAGGACTTTGGAGGCTATGGATGTTGCCGTTGGCCAGAGCTATGGAGCTGATTCCTTTTCGGGTCGGAATGCTTCGCTGGGAGCGGATTAAGCTGTACCTCGCCCCTTACGAATGTAGTTGGAGGACAGGCCCCAACGGAGGGGGGAATGTCGGGTCAGGCAGCAGCACACCGGTGTAATTTTAATGGTAACGTAATGTTTGGTAATGTTTATTTATTAGGCTTAAGTTTATACAAAAGCTAGTTGATCGCAAGCCGACTCTCTCTCGGCCGCTCGACTCAACGGACTTTCTTTAGAGAGTTTTAGCTCGGCAATATCTAGGTCGGGCCGCCCTCTCCATTGTCGAGAGCTTTAGCTTCGAGGTGACTTGTCGGTCGCCCTCTCTGTATATTACTTGAGTCCCTGCATGCACCATAAGCTGGTCTATCTGCGGATCATCCGGCTTCATCTGCATGCAGAAATAAACATTTTTTATAACGTTCATATTAAAAAAAAATTCGTCTTTTTATATGAAAAATATCAATGACCAAACAAAAGGGTTGTGGAATATTTTTAGTTCATTTGGACATAAAATCTTTACATCTAACGTCTTTTGTCTTTTTGAATATTTCAAAATTTTTTTTTAAGGTTCAATATTTAAATAATTGGAATGAAAGGACAATCGCATTTGATGTCGATACGACATTGTTATGGCGGCATGGATTCAAAATCGAACCCAGCAGATTTAGCATCCCGGGGCTTGGGAGTATCCGTGCACATTTACTTCCAATTTTGGTGGAAGGGTCCTATATGGATAAGGGACAAGGATAAATTCTTGGTAAAGTTGAACAATTGGTACAATTCTCACAGCTGGTTTTCTATAGGACTTTAAGCTACTTCTCGCTATCAAGCCTCTATAAAACCAATCTTAATTGGTAAAGCTCTCACCGATCAATCCGGTGAAATTCTTGAAATTCTGCCTATATATACATATTTTTGATAAGCATCAAAAGTCAAAAGAACGCGTGGATCTCAGTCTAAAAAAGATAGGAATTGGCATGGATTACACTGCCCACGCAGCTTAAGATCGTTTCAAATTTTGGCCACGCCTCTTCCGCTCCTAAGAGTTTCGTATTTTTGTAGCGCCAGCACTGGGGGGTTATTTAAAAATTTCGATGAAAAAAATCAACTCCAAACTATTTCTTAATATAGTGTTGAGTCAAATTGGTTCCTTTCCGATTTTTCAGTTATATAGTCAGTTATGTGAAATTTTGTAGGTTGGCTTGATTGGCTCTAAAATTTATAAAAAAATAGCTTCCCGACGTTAAAAACCATAAAGTAATGGCATTTCCGATCAATCAGTTATATGCAATTATAGTATATGTCCCGACTTATATAGATTTAAACACAGAAACAGGTAGTAACAGACAGACGGACACGCCTTATCAACTCAGGAGGGGACCCTGATACAGAATATGTATACTTTGTGTTTCCTTCACTGCATTCCACATTTTGACGAAAATTACCCTCTTCAAGGGTATTGAATGCGTATATGTATATTCGCATGAATACGATATATCTTGGTTTTAAAAAACCTACGTTTATTTTTTTCTTATTGAAAGAAAAGATCCATTAAGTCTCAATTAGTTCAGAACAGATTTCTTAATCGTGTAAATAAAAAAGAAGAGATTTGTTTTGAGAAATTAAAAAAGAAATGCTATGATTATGGCTTATAAACTTATTTTTTAAATTTTAAAATAAAAATTTGATTTTTTTTTTCGAAAAATAATAGTTTTGTAACAATCCTTTGACCTTTTTTGAGAATATAGTTCCATAGTACAGCTAGAATTTCGATTTGTTGAACTTGTTATCGACACATTTATCGATTGCTTCTGTCAAATATATAGTTTTAAAACATTTAAAAAAAATGAATGTTAGGTTTTATAAATATATGTATATAAATATATGAGTGTTATCAATATATATGTTAATTAAGTTTTGTTCAAAAGGTGGTGGGGCTCTTATACTTAAAAAAAAAAAATAATAAGTTTGAGGGTGAGAAATTGTCATGCGCACGGACGAAGCTTTTGGGGAACATAAACTTTTTCTACTCTTATATAAAAATGTATTCAATATGTTTTCAGTGGCATAAGTAGTTTCACGGTAACTTATACAAAAAACTTGTTAAAAAATGATTAAAATAAAAATGATACTATCATAAAAACAAAAAAAAACTTAACAAAAAACTTAAAAAAAAGTAATATATTAAGAAAAATAAGTAAAAATAAAGCTTAATAACCATTTAGAAAATCGTTACCTAAAGCTGTATATTAGTTAATAATAATGCGTGCTTGGTTTTATTTCTCCGTACTTTTTAATCCAATAAAGTTTTCCAATAAAATGTAAATAAAAAAACTTTTAAGTGACTTTTTGTAAAGTTTCGGAAATATGTGTATATGTTTCATAAAATATAAAAATGTAATAATATGTCAATAAATGTTAGATTTTTTAGAGACAAAAATTTATATTGTGCGCGGAGAAAAAAATTGGAAAAAGAAAAATTTTAATATTGACAGAAAATTTACAGTCAAAGAACTGAAATATAAGAATCTATAAAGTAAGCCAACCAATTTTAATATTATTAAATAAGTTTTAAAACTTATACTGATAAGGTTATTAATTCAATATGGTCATACTTTTTGCAGTATTGCATAAGAATTTAAATCGACTCAATATAATATACTTTACACTTTACAGATATGGCTAGTGTAATTCTTATAGCTTGTCTTGCTATATTGGGTCTTATCATAGCAATTTCTCTTTTTCTGGCTGGAGGATATTTGTGGTGGCGGCACAAAAGATCTCAGTTGCAATTTATTGAGCCTAATGAAGACGAGGAGTCAAGTAGTTACAGTCTTAGGTAAGTTTAAACTAATTATGTAATTTTTTCCACTTTTAAAAATTTAAATATTAAAAAAGTTAGAAGTAAAATCTTTTTGTTTTTGCCAAAGGCGAAGCTTATAGTATATCCATGTCGTATTCAACTATTTTACTCAAAAACTACGTACGAGATTTCTGTTCGAGTTTTTCGATAAAGCAATTTACAAATTTTTAACTTCATTATAGAAAAGTTCAACGGAAAAGTTTGAAAATTAACTGTTATTTTTCGCATGGTGGAATCTGTCGGACTTTTATATTTTATTGGGAGACTTTGCTGCCTCCGTACCGAAATACTGGTATAACTGCTTTCTCAAGAAGTTGCGCTGAAAAAAACTTAAAAATCATTGGAGTCATCCAAATTTTTGAATATCCGGTGGATGAAGAGTCCGACGTAGCAGTCGCTTCTTAATCTATTGAGCAATTGAGGTATTCTACTACACGCCCAGTTTCACAGCTGTTCTAGGAGATCCACTGGTTAGAGTCTGTACCATTACATGCGAATATGATTCTGGAAAGAGAGGCAGGGTAATCTGTGTATGTTGCAAGACACATCGATTTCTTAGAAAGAAGCTGAGGCATCGTGGGTGTTGCAATATACCAATATAACCTGGAGGCTGATCCGTTCGCGACGTGAATATCCTTTCAGAAATAAAACAAATTGGCTGAAAAAGGTGCGGGTGCAGGACGCTTTTCAGAGAATTAACTGCTGAATGTCCACCACATTTTCCTTGCCCCGTACATTGGGCGAAAACGTCCCCGTTATGAAAATATTTTTCAAATATTTTCGGAACCATCCTTGGCTTTTTGATAACCATCTAAAGTATGAATGAAGTGGCAACAGAATGTATCCACTAAAAAAAAATTTGGCCAATAAGCTTTCGTTTTAAAAATTTCAAAAAAAAACAAATTTTCTTACATGCCGTTATGTCGGAAAGATAGTCTAGTGTTATTAAGATAAATCGAGAAGTTTAAAGCTTAATTTTTCATTACTCCTTCTCTAAGCTTCTCCATCTCCTTTCTCTAACAATTATCTACAAAAAGTTATTGTTTTTTTTTGAGAAGCTCACAAATTCGTGTTAACGAATGTTCAATTTGGAGTTCGATGTCGAAATATAAACAAAAAACACAGTAAAACTATTTATAAATAAAGAGGGCCCATGACCGTCATTTTTTGACATAAATGATGTAATTAAAATATTTTTTTTTAATAAATTAATATTTTTGTTAAGTTACAAGTCCCAAGTAAAAATTTTTTAAGACCCAAGCATGATCAATGTACTTTTTTTTTCAAGCCGTTGGTGCCAAATGCCGATCTAGCCGAAAAAGCCCTCTATATCATACCCTGAACTATTCTCTTCCGCCAACACCGCTTCTTTTATAAACGATTTTTATTTTGACTAACCTTTAAAAGTATAGATTTTCAATATGTTGCATACACTTGTATGTTTTGGAACAATTGCCTAAATTGAATTTAATCATTTTGCTTCACCCATCTCATATTAAAATCTGAAAGAGTATAACTTTTTACATTTTTACATTATCATAAATTGTTCCTTTTAACATTATTGATACTAATTCCTTGGTATGCAAAAGGTTGAAAAACATTAATAAAATGAGGGATAAGCTTCGAGCTTGTGAGCTGACACATCAATTTAAGCGGGATTAAATTCCCTAATCGGTTTCTTTACAACCAATACATTCGGAGCTTGGCTCCGATTCAATCCCAATCCTACATTTCTCCTATGAAAAATGCAACATCGGATATTCTTAACATATTGGACTGTGTCCTAGCGGAGGCCACAGGTCATTTTAACGAGCCACACACCGTGGACTTGGACTTGGTATTACCCCATTATTTTGCTATCGCTTTTGCGATACCCAAAGATTTCGCTGTCATCTGGTTCACAAAGGTGGCAGTAGGTCTGATGATATAATCTTTAGATATACAGTCGAATCCCGATAATTCGTACCCCGCTAAATCGAAATTCGCGATAATTTGTAAAAAATTCTGTCCCTCTGAAAAAAATTCGTTAATTCGTAAAAATTCCTTACATTTTGGTCCCCTCGTTAATTTGTAGTATTTGGCGCAACGCAAAAAATATTGAACCACTTATAAATCGTAATTTTATTTCAAACCCTCTTATAAATCTTAATGCGATGCGAATTTGTAGTTAAAGCACCGTTAGATTTTGCAGACAGCTATGCCGCTTTTATGTCGCTGTGCATTAGGAATTTTGTGTTTCTCTCACTGTTTTCGTTATGTTTGCTGTTACCAATTATTGTTACCAAAAACTTCAAATTATTTTAAAGCTTGAAATTTTGTTTTTTAAAGTTTAATGTTTCTGCTTAATTGCTTAATTTTTTTTTAATATAATTTTAAGTTATTGTTTCCTTTAATTTAAAAAACGTACAACTGAATGTACATACTTATGTTTGTTTAATTTTAATAAAGTTAAATACATATGTAAACATGATGTGAAATGCAAAAACCCCGTTTATTCGACTCTTTAATTTTTTTGCCCCGCTAAATAGAAATCTCGATAAATCGAATTCCCGTCTAATTCGTAAAAAAAGTGATCCCCTTGCCATTTCGAATTATCGGGACTCGACTGTATTGCCTTGATTTGCAACATCGCTAAGATATTTGAGCGGATATATATTCAAAAATGAACACTTTTTTATTTTTTATTTTATATCCCTTAACCAAAATGTTTCATTTTCTGCGAGATCCACCTAAACTAATTTAGCGGGCTTGTCTTAGCATTGAAGCCTTTAAGAGCCAATGTCAGGTTGACGCCATTCATCTATCTATTGCTACTTCTATTTGTTATTTTTATCGAAGACATCTTTTCTTGCTTTCGTCATGACTCCGTGTTGCATGCGGATGAGCGTAAAATCTATAAGACCATTAGCTGGATTATTGACAGTTACCTTATGTAGGAAGATTTATACAGAGTTTTCCCTTCATTCCTTACACTTATCTAAATGTAATGTTACCCGCTGCAGCCCGTAGTCCATGGATATCTGCACTGATTATTTTATCGGAAATCATGCTTACACAGTTTACGAGAACGTGTTACATTTAGGTCTCTTATCACGCTGAGGGGCAGTCCACGGGTGACGAAGCAAGCAAGCAAAAGTAAAGAGATTTTGATTCATTCAATTTGGGCTAAAGGGAACATTGGAGTATCAAAAAAAAAATGTTCTTAAACAAATTCTAATTTTAAAAATGTTCAAATAGCGACCCTACAAGCTGTGCCCAAGGATTTTTCAACATTCAGCGAGGATCCTAAGGACTGGCCGTTATTTCAGCACGTTTGAACATGGCACTACAGCAGCTGAAAATACCAACGTGGAAAACATGCTACGTCTGCAAAAGTCGCTTAAAGGAAAAGCTCGTGAACTGGTTAGACTTAAGCTCCTAATTCTTAATTTAGTGCCAGATGTCATCAGTACTTTGAAGATATTTTAAACAAGATATTTGTTATAGACGCAAAACATATCGTCGAGAGAATAATGAACAAGTTCTGAAGACTAGCACCATCCAAAGACAGATTGGGGACGATAATAGAGTGGCACTCGCTGGCACTTCGCAACCTCTGTGCGACTATAGAGGCTGAAGGCGCAATCCAATGAAGGCGCAATCCCATGCCAGTCCAAGTAAAGGAGCTAGAAGATAAGCTTCTCATCGTTGGATGATAAGATAAACTGGGCAATACAACCCCGCGGCGATAGGGTGGCAGCAGTCAAAGCATTCAGTGACTGGCTGCATAAGATCACAGAGGCAGCATCTTCAGATCCAGACAGATGAGTCTGGACCATCACGAGAACAAACACAATCAAACGCGAGCCATACGGAAGTAGCTCAGCAGCAAAATCAATTGAAGTGTGAAGCGTACTGCGACATGAGTCACCGTCCAGCACAATGTGGCGGTCACCTTGACAGTGACAAGTGGTGGTACCGCTAATTTCTGCCCAGCCGACATTGGTAATCGAGAATTTGGAAGCTAGCAGTCCTTCAGAAGATCCGTGACGGGAATTGAAACGAACCAATAGCATCGAACCAAGGAACCTATACTCACGGTAGCACGTTAGCTATACTCAGCTGAAGATATGTCCCCACTGAAAATATTAGAGAGTACTTGCTAAAATAAATCCGGAAAATATGAAATTGTACCGACAAACTTCCAAAGACGCTCCAAGACGTTACGCTCGTTAGCTGCTTACCATGAGGAAAAATGTATTTCAGGAACCGGATCTATACGAGAAGATTGACGCTCAAAATAGGAACCTCTTAGACAAACGATAAGGGGTTAAGCTATCTGAGGAAGCAACCGCCATGAGAACAGCCGTACATGGCATCTGCCGGTATTCATAGCGTTGAATCCAAACAACCCGAATAAGTTAAGGTTAGTATGGGATGAAGTCGCAAAAGAACATGGATCAGAAAACTCAGGGAGTCCAGATTCCTTGAACCCACTCATAGGATAAACATCCTTTGTCTTTGTGATAAGACAGAAGCAGTGACAAAGGGGACACTTATGTCAAGCGACCTATGTCCTTTGGGATATGTTGCACCCCCAAAAAGATTTCCCATTGGCCTTAAACGCCATCCAAAATGCACGCCATTCAAAAGGATTCGAGATCCAAGGGTTTTGTTCAATTTCGTTCAACCGAAAAGATTTTCGTTTCGGGATTTTCGTTTAACCGAAAAGATAGTTGGTGTTCTGGGACTCAAATGATGATATGTTCAAGCTTATCATCAGATGTTCAAGGCTTAAGCGCGACGTTCTGCCAGAAAATGAAATTCCCACCAAACGAGAAGTTCTACATATTCTTATGTCGAGCTTTGGTCCATTAGGATTTTTATCATGCCAGATAATTGGGCTTAAAATACTTCTCCAGCGCATATGGCGGCTTGGTCGGACTCAAAGACAGTATTACAGTGGCCAACTATCGACCCCCGCAACTTTCATCATT